TCTAACTTTAGTAGTGCTATGATAGAAGTTCAGGCCAAAGTCAAATAAACATCCTCGATAGTGTAAAATCATGTACACAAAAGCTAAACTAACGCTAGTGAAATAAAGTCAGCGCATATCAAAACTATTATTCCAGATTGATCATTACATAGTGTGGCGAACACAGTGAAAATGACCCCGAACCTAGCTGTTTATTATTCGACTAGTTACATAGGCTTCCTGTGGAAGACCATATCCTAATTAGCAATATCAAAGCGAATAACCGCAGTTGTATCTGACAACAATTTCTTTTGTGTAAAGTCCTTACCCAACACAAAAGACACCACGAAATAAAGAGCCGTTTTTAAACAGCCTTGRAAAWATATATATTTTTTTAAATTGARACTRAACCTGTATACATGTGTATACCCAGAAGGCCTAAGATTTAAGCCTTTAGGGAATACAGGGTTAGCTTCAAAACGGGGAAAATGCAAATCGTTAGGAYTATTGTAATTACATTTTCTCGTGCTTTCGTGTTTAGTGAGGTCTTTGTGCAAGTGAATCTGCTSTCATATAAAACAGCGGTTATTCCCTTTGAATTCGAAAATGGAGTGTTCCTCCTTCGTGAATAGTCTACTTCAAGTAGGCAGCGAGGAACGCCTGGAGAATGGCGACTATCTTTTCATGTCGATTTCAAACTAAACCAATCAGGCTTAGTCTTCAGACGTCGTGATTGCGTATATACGCGCCCGCGATACTTGGACACCTGACAGCTGTGTGCATGGACTTTTAAACGTATTGAGCATGTCCGTGACGATTCTATGTTAATTAGCATATCATGACATAGAGTCATCACACTTGTACCGTGAAACATAATCAAAGAAGTAGTAACTATTAGTTTTTATTTACTGACTCATTGTATGAAATAGTAGATATCACTGAACCACAACAATTCTTAAAAACAAAAGGTAATACACAAGAGACTTGGAAGCCAAACAATGTTATTAAAAGCTACCTAATGAAGAAGGAGGAATTTGTTAAAAAATGTCCCACCCACAAGGAAAGAAATAAAGAGCTAGTTTAGTTCTTTGTTAAACCCAGAGGAAAGATGTCGGGAAGGGCTAGAACTTGTGTTAAATATAGGCTTCATGGAAATCGAGTTCATTGAAAGGACATGAAAGAACTGCCCTATTATTGATTATAGGGTGAAAGTGAAATAGATAGCTATAGTAACTAACTTTATAACTGTTACGAGTGCTGCTGGAAATAATGATTTGGTAACTATTGTC